GGGGGAAATTAAAACTTATCATCTAAAATAATTTATAAAAATTTATGTAGCTATAAAACTTCTTATTAAAGATAACATAAAAAATTTAAGGTTAAATTATTTCTAAATATAAAATGATGTCATATTTAGATAACATAAAAATAAATTTGCATATAAATTAAGACATTTGGAGTATATAACGGTTATTAACATGACATTAATTTTAGTAAAGTTGTAAAATTTATTTAAAATAACTAGATTAGTGAAATTACAGCTTTCTTTCAGATTAATTACAAAAATCTTAAGATGTTTTAGAAATAGCCCCCACCCCACCCCAACCCCCCAAAAAATCCTTCATTAGCACGTACTATAAACATGGTAAAAAGAAAGCCAATGCCTCTACAAATAGAGCGGCCAAAATGGCTAGATCTGTTTATCCTTAAAATTGGATAACAATTGAATTTTTACGGGATTTTGAGGATACGTGATATAACTTGATACAAATTAAGAAGACAGATTAATATTGAAATTAACAATAAGAAAATAAATGCAAACCATACAAATTGAACAGCCTTAGCCTCTGAGTTTGATCACCCTCGAGCTAAGAAACGTATCAACTAATGTTAGAACTGAACAACAAGATGATAAGAACTAGAAATGATCAGTATATTGCTTTCTTTGTGCGTGTTACAATGTCCTACAAATTATCAAAACCCCCTTTATATAGTAGGGGTGTTCTACTCTTGGTACAATTCTATACAAGGTAAAAAATCTCATGATTTGCTAATTAGTCGGCCTCTAATTGATACGTGTCGAGATTTCCACCGTGATCTTCGACCGATTGCGGATATTTCGGCTTTTTGTTATTTGGCTCGGCAAGTTTTTCTCGATCTTATTCGGTCTCGATCTTGCTCGGTCTTTGGGTCACGAGCTCGACGATCTAATTTTGTGCCTTGGTTCGATATAACCCGAGCTTGAGCTTTGACCTGCCATATTTCAGCCTCGATTGGTCACTCAATTGACGAACCCGATTTCGACCATATACAGATAGTTCCCTCGTTTTTCGAAAAGAAGATGACGAGAAAGAATATGAACTTCCGAACCTCGTTTCGATAGATCATGACGTAAGCGACAAAAGGTAACTGAAACGTCCCGTCGGTCAAGTCTTCAAGGTATTAAACGTGTGTCATTGTTAGTCGGCCACTACTGGTTTTGAACCGTCATTAGCAAATTATAAATATCCCAACTTTCATTCATTCAAACTTTATGTTCAAAAAATTCTTCTACTCTTGTTCTTTAAGAATCTCTTCACTCTCCAACTTTTGTACCGAGATTTCTTGAACCTTTTGCAACCACTAAGCGTACCTTCTTAATTTTCTTTTCTTCATCTCTGCTTTGAAATGGCAAAAACTTCTAAAACTGTTCCATAGAAAGAAACAGCCTCTTCATCACGGCCTGCCTGCAATGGGACTGCGGCGGAGCCACACCCCGAAGAGTTCGTTCTAGGAGGGTGCCCGATCGGTACTGATTTCAAAATCGAAAAAACTTCCTCGGTACTAGATCGATGCAAGCCGGTCTTGAGATATATATGTTCGATCACCGATGATCTCCTCTCCAAGGTCAAAGAGGATTGTAATTGGACCGATAAATACGTGGTGGTGCCCTCGCCTGAGGAATCAATTACTACCCACGTGAAGGGTTTTTTAAGTGTTTACACTTACCCCTTTACGTTAGGTCCCTTAGACCCGATCATTATTGCCTTCTGCAAAAGGTACGAAGTGACCCTCGGTCAAATTCACCCCTCTTTCTAGAGGATAGTGATTCTTCTTTGCTTTTTTGTAAGCAAAATCGAGGGGGATCCCTTCACCCTCGATCATCTCATGCGTCTGTACAGTCCCTAACTCTATCGAGGGGGATTAATAAAACTTACTCGCCGGGCCAATAGGGCCCCGTTCTCGAGTATAGATGAGGACCGGGACCGAGGATGGATGGGCCGATTTGTTCGAGTGAAGACCTCGGAATTGATCCCTGCCGAGGACATCTAAACAGTGGTCTGGATGCCGGATACAGTTCCTCGACTCAAGGAGTGGATCGAGGATCTTGTGTCACAGAGACCGTATTCCGAGCGCGTATGGCGCAAACTATCGAAGGTTTGGTGGGAGGCCTGTAATCATAGTAAGTTTTCTTTTCTGATTTAATAATGTTTGACTTCCTCCTTGCGCCATCGAATTCTTATCAGTACAGTTTTCTTTTGTAGGTCTCCCTAAAGATGTTGCTACGAGGCCTCCATCCGGTGATGAGGATGTGCTTCTCGAGTCCCCTACTCTGGGACAGGGTGACGAGAAGAAAAGGAAAAGGGTTCCGAGTTCTCCAAACTCGGGAAAAAGAAGCAAAGAGGAGGTCGGTGCATAAACCCAAGGGAAACATTGGTACTCTATCCTCGGACCCAGTCTACCGCTAAGGGATGAGTCCGAAGAAGAAGAAGAAGAAGAAGATAAATCCAAGCTGGTGGCCCGCGTGCGGGCATGTGTCTTGATATGAGAGGCCTCTGAACCGGTGGGTGTTGAAATTGAACCGCCTCAACTTGAGGAGGTCGATGGGAGAACTTTAGCCGAAGCTCTCGAACCAGAGGGGGTGAGGCCACTCCGCCTCGAGATAGAGGAGTCGAAAAAGAAACCTGGGCTGATGCTTCTCGAGTAGGGGAAAGTGCCTTGAAAGATGTTCTTGGGGTGATTGACATTACTGGATCTCCTCAGTTCCAGTTGCAATGATCCATGGGGCCGGTATGGTAGAAGGTCGATCCTACGAGGGGCCTCAATGGGCTACAGATATCCACAACTTCTTAGATGGGTTGGAGTCTTCTGCCTCGGAGGACGTCACTAGGCTTGGAGACTTGCTGGTGCCAAAGAAGGTAGCATCGCTGGGAGCCAGTCCCAACCCTTGTTGACCTTGATCGAAAGCAGTCAATAGTTTTCTCTATCCCGGAGGATGCCCGGGTTTTCTCTTCCCCCGTGGGGGTTGCTAGCTATCTTCGGTGTTTGGTGACTGAAGAGGACCAGGCCGTGATGGACAAGGTGGAAATGCCCTGCTTGTTCAATGAAGCTCAACAGGCGTTGAATCGGGTAACTTCGAGTATCTTTTTTATTATGTACTTTAAACTTAAAGTTGTAAATAATCATAACACCTTTCTTTATGCTTGTAGGCCTCGGTACTGCACCATGAGTCTTTCCTCCGATACCAGGAGGAGTTAACCCAGCACAAGGCCGAGATTCGGGAGCTTACTGAGAAGGGGGACACCTACAAGATTCTCAGTGAGAAGTCACGAGCATCTTGGTGTCTCCGTACCGATCCGCGAGACTCTACTAAACCTGCTCATGACTTGTGAGACCTAGTAACCTAGGCTCTGATACCAACCTGTCACGACCCAAACCCTGCTCCGATCGTGATGGCGCCTCTCGTGAAGACAAGGCCAGCCAGACCATTTCAGAACACCTCTTTTAAGCAGTTAGACCGTTCATAAGCAGTTTAAATATGATTTCATGATATTAATTAGCGGAATTACAACCCAACACTGCCCTAATCAGGGTGTCACAAGTCACGAGCATCTATTAGAGTGTAAATCCAACTACAAGGTCTCAAATATACAAAACCGGAATAATGAACTAAAGAGAGAAAAATGGTGCTGCGAACGCTGGCAGTCACCTCGCTAACTCCTATAAATCTGCCTCTGATCAGCCAAAACCCGCTAACGGGTGGATAAATACCTGCATCTGCACACAAGGTGCAGGGAGTAAAGTGAGTACTCCAACTCGGTGAGTAATAAAGGTAAATAACAACTGAGCAGTAAGAAATCACGTATAATAAATCATCATGCTGTATAGAAGCAATATAAAACCCTTTTGAGAAAAACAGTGAAACTGTGAAATCTTTAGAAAACATCTTAGCTCAGTTCAAACCTCTTTTGAAAATGACTTTTTCAACGGTTATGCGAATAAATGCAAACAATTAGTGCAGATAAGCACAGAAATCCGCCCCTCGGGCACAACACTCACTCAACAGATAATGCCAGGCAATCAAGTAGATACCCCGTGAAGTAACACAAACAACAGATAATGGCAGACAATGAAATAAAGTAAACACGTAGAATAGTACTAGTACCGCTGCGGCATGCAGCCCGATCCGTGTATATATATATATATATATATATATATTGCTGCGGCGTGCAGCCCGATCCAAAAGTATCCTCACAATACAGGCCCTCGGCCTAACTCAGTCAACAAAATCACACAAGCCACTCGGGCAACAATAAACATGATGCTCAGCCCAAAATATTATTGGAAATATCATTTCAAGTGTTAAAGCAAGTAAACTTGGTTGAGTTTTGAAAATAGTGGAAAAATGCATGACTGACAACCATCCCGAAGGGGTTCAAATAGCTGGCACGAAGCCCAAATATGGCAATCAGCCCAAGTCATATTGAATACAAATAAGTTTCAGTCAATTACACAGTAAAATCATCAATCGGGAC